TGGTAAATTTTAAATGTTTACAATTTTAAACGTTAAGCTCCATTGAGTGACCCCTCATTTTGAAGGTCCTGGTAAAAGAAAACCAACAACGCAAACTAGAGGTCTCTATCTAAATCTAGTAAAACATGGCAGCCAATTGAAATTCTCAGAAGTGAAATTTAACTTACAGCTTTCCAAGTCTGGAGACCCACGGAAAATTTGTAACGGCTCACACTAGAAAAAATAAACTCTGCACACCTTTATGGCATGCTATGAAGTACTTTTTGGGCATAACCGCCACTTGTTGTACATCCCCAAAATGGGGGATTTCGGGGGAAACTCAAAAATGTTTAATGTTAAGCCCCATCGAGTGATAGTCCCCTCATTTTGAAGGTTGTGATAAAAGAAAACTAACGACGCTAACTAGTGGTCTCTATCTCATTCCAGTAAAAAATGCAGCTGATTGAAATCAGAATTAACTTGCAATTTTTATTCAATTGGCTACCATATTTTTCTGTGTTAAGATAGAGACCTCTAGTTTGCGTTGTTAGTTTTATTTTATCACGACCTTCAAAATGAGAGGTCACTCAATATGGGTCTTACCATTTGAAACTTTTGAGTTTCCCCCAAAATCCCCAATTTGGGGGGTGTACACCAAGTGGCGGTTATGCCCAAAAAGTTCTTCATAACATGCCATAAAGGTGTGCCGAGTTTAGTGTTTCTAGTATGGGCCGTTAAAAACCTAATTGGGGGTCTCCAGTTTTTACTAACCCTGTATATAAAAATTTGAACGAGTAGAGCCACCTACGATAATAGCTACTTTCCTATAGGGAAATTCGCTAAAAAGAGGTAGACATTACATTCCTGGAACCTAAAAAAACCAACTAAACTTGATATTAATAAGATACTGGTACGTTTAATCACTTTACAAGAAATGCGTAATGATTTATATATTCTAGCAACGGCACGTTGGCGTTAGATCCTACTTGTTGTAAACTAACAGGATTTGCCTGAACATATCTCGTGCATATCAATTGAGCAGGTTACCAGTTTATATACAAACCTGGAAACACGAACTAATCTGATATTACCAGAAATACAAATCAAAGGGAACCTGAGTTATTTAGGGACGTAAAGAGTACGGTTAAGCTGATGGGATTCCAAACGATACATTTCCCAACAGTAAAATAGTAGGATAAATGGAAAACCTGAATAGTAAATTTTAATTGATTATACTATGCAAAATTCTTTCTAAAGGTTAAGATAGAGCCACTGGTCGCGGCACCTCTAGGTTTATCGAATTCGAGTACATTATTTTGGAACCTTTTCCGTTAATTCACTACGAATGGACGAAAGGCGTGAAGGTCGTGGTGGAGGTGTAGGCTACAGCAATAATCTTCGATGACGGCCTCGGCTGTCTTAATATCCCATCGGATTAAAGATAGTTGTGGAGGATATAGTTAAAAATGGGAGTCAATCTGATACTGAACCCTTTTTAAATCCTCCTCTTAAAAGTACATGGAAAAGAACTCCGATTTAGGCCTGGATTTCTTACCAAACTAATAAAATAGGCTCATCCGAAGAATGACACGTAAAGAAGCAAAGATAATTTCAAAATCTTCAACCAATTTTTATTTGTGCAGATTATCCCCAATATTACTAACGAAAGTTTTTTTCTCTAGAGGTGTATAAAACAGCTAACCAAACGATAATTTTATTCTTTCATTAAATGTCAATTTTTTCTACAGCATAACAATACAATTTTGAGTAGTAAAGTTATACATTGTTCGATTTTAAAGTTTACTGTTTTTTGTTTGGTCCTGTAAATTTCCTTCACAAATTTTTCAGTTCAATCCAGATTGTAAAGTATAAAATATATTTATGTTATAACAAATACGTGAAAGTAATCGGGGATTTCTTGAAATAAATCAATATAAAAATATTTTTACCTATCATTCTTTTTAATTACTTTCACGACAAAGTGATTAGTGAGCTGACAATACTTACAGTTGGTCTACACGACACTTGCACGTCTTTACGGAGAGGCGGCAGTAGACTGACCAGGGGGTGTAGCAGGCATTGGGGGTGTTCCACCTCACGATGCGATATATCGAAACTATTCATCCGATAAAGCCCACTCAATCATTCATCTCTTTACGGGCGTATAAAACATAACATTTCGTACAATAAACTAAACTAACCCACACAGGGTGTAAACAAATGCACCCTCATCTCTATTAGACACGTTTCGCATGTGTCGTGGAAACATATTCACAATAAATGTTCAAACTGGTGGCATCCCATTACGTAACGAAAAATGAGCTTAAGTATAAACATAGATAAATCATACTCCCTTGTGTTGCTTAGTCTATGGTATAAATAAACCTTCAAATAGATGTTGAAGATGCATCTGAACTGAAGTCATAGCAAAGGTGTAATGTATGGTTTCGACTGCATTCTTGACAAACGCATTGTTGCATGGTTTGCGGTTGTTAACATGTGATTTACAATGGTGTGAAGTAATCAGCTGACCACTTGTCTATAAATAATACCGAATGTGCAATAAGGAGTTTTTGGAAATAGTTATTTGTGTAACTAGTGGTGAAAGTGGCACTTTGCTGCACACGAGAGCAATGTTTACGCACGAGCAGCAGGCGAGTGCGGAATGATCTCGAGTGCAGCAAAGGCCTTTTTCACTCGTGTTACACATTATATTTTTCCTACAGTCACTATTAAGCAAATAAATAATTAGTCTTTCAAACACTATACAACACGTTTTTAGGTTCAGCTGGCAACACAAATGGTGCCCTAGAGAAAGTAGTACCCGCAGTCCGTATCACTCCGCTATTTATCCTGGGCAAGAAATGTGCTCCGCGTTTTGAGAATATAGTTCCGTATGTTTTTGTAATTTGAAGTGGTTTCCGCGCCTAAAAAAAATGCTTTAAAGGTATTTTCTTGTTTATTAAGATCGTAGGAATGTTTTAAAAACGTTTAAAAGAAAAGTCCAGAAAGTTCAGAAATACCGAAACTATAAACACGAAATGACAGGTTAAATCGTAGTTATAATAGTCAATCAGCTGCTCATAGTATTATTATCTTTAAGTGTTGCCAACCTATTTCCAAGCGTACATGGATTACGTGCATAATAGAACCACGCTGTTTTGTGTTGTTTCGTTGGAATCCTGGTGTGCGGCAAAGTATAAACCGTACGACAAAGTATAAACCGTACGGCAAAGTATAAATATGCAGCAATTAGCAGCTTTCTGTACTATAAACAGTACAAGGAAGCCAACTTTGTCGGGTGACCGTAGGAAAATGTTATTCATATACTTTTAATTTCAATCCATACGATTACTAATGATTTGTGTACCTACTGTAATTACCATTTACTACGTAAACTAGTATCTATCTATAATATGCTACATATACAGTAAGAGGCTCGCTAACTCCGCTCAATTGCGTGAGATGATTATTTGCGTCAAAGTTGTGGGAGTCTGGAAAGTCGTAAAAAGCTGGGAGATGGTTCAAATTAAGGATCTTGGAACAACTGGGAAAATAATTAAGAAACCATAATGTTTACTGAAATTTAAGGATAAAGTGAAATATTTTAAACGCCTCTACTCCGTGTTGGTGGTAAAATAGTGGAATTTACAAAATGTTTAACAAAAAATTTTATATAACGTGAATAATGTTCCCCATAAGAATAGCATTCGAAGTCATAAACAGCTGATTTTTGTTAACTTCAGTACAGGTGATCGTGATATATTATCAAGCCTATAGGCCTACACGATGTTAACATTTGGACTACTTATTTGTCAGTCAACTCTGCTTTGTATGCTATAATAAATTCAAGGATAACGTAATATACAGTTATTGAGATGTTTTAGTTACATCTCTGCGTCATGCCTTATAATTTTGAATTGTTATTGTCTTTTTTATAGTTGAAAGATTTTTTTATTTGTTAATCAAATTTAACGTGGTAGAATTATGGGAGATGGCTCAAATTAACCTAGTGATCTTGGAACAAATGAGAAAATTAGAAACCATGATGATAACTGAAATGTAAATATAATGTAAAATATTTTACGAAAGCATTATAATAAACAGTCTTCTGTTAGTGGACAGTAGTCGTAAAAAAACTAAGCTTTGTTTTAAATTATTTTGTATTTACATATCCTTACACATTAGAGTAGTTCCTAATAAGTATGTTTTGGATGTATTTGATTCTTCAGTGAATTTTTATTACCCTGAACACCAGATGAAACCAACAAAGGTAGGGAAAAATATATGTGCAAAAGAAGTCAATATCAAAGTAGATGGAGATATATTATCACAACCCCTATTGAGAGGACTAATAATAGACATAACAGAAGAGATAAGTTAAACAGCAACGAGTGGTAATCAATGTTTTGTAAATAGTGATTACAAATATTTTTTTTAAGTAGACTAATTGTTTACTGTGCAATCCATAAACATATACGAGTATGATTCTATAAACTTGCAGTAGGATAGTATTTCTTACGATTTACGACGATTTGTTACGTGTCTTTAGACCATCTTGGACCGTTCTCTCCCCCCCCCCCTTTCCGCTGGATTTTAGACCTTGTTGGGGACAAGAACATTGGGTTTCGTGATCTAAGCTTAAAGGACACGTTACAAAAATCAGACATAAAAGTACAACTGAGTTACTTTTATAATAAATATAATCTCCTTCAGATCCCAGAAAGGTTTGTGTGAATTTAATGTATAAAACACAACATAAACAGTATTAAGATGTAACTTTCGTTCTTTTGTTTACAACAAGCAAAATAAAAAGCCACAAAAAGATAATATGTAGTTAATTGATTCGTAAACAGTTTCTAACGTATTAAATTTGATCATAATCTTAAAGTTGTCGTACGGTATTTAAATTAGTAATTTCCAGATTTGGTGTATTACGATCGTTTGTTCACCTAATTTGTAAGTTAAAGAAGTAAGAACTAGGATAACATACCTTCTAGATTTTTTTTATTTCACGTATATGGAATATTGTATTTATATCTTCACTGTTTTACATAAGCACAATGTAATATAGGTATTTATATGTGGTATGTGTAAGCCAAAATCCATAAGATCCAAAATCTACTTCTTTTGTGTAACCAAACAATTGAGTAGTTACACAAACCAATCAATTGTCATAAGACTTCCAATGCTAGATACAGTACACTAGTGATGCGTCTCAACTGTGTCGTGGGCACTACACAACGGCGTGTCCACTTGCTGAGTGCGGTGGAACAGGCTGTAGTCTATCAGGTAGGACATGCGTTCCTTGCTGTAGGACACCATGGGCTGGAACCTGTGTCCCCACAGCACCTCAGAGGGCAGATAACTGGTCCGCGCCTGCGAGGTCTGGCCTGTAGACTCCGTCGTGCCTTCCATCACCACGACGATCTCGAACCTGTCGTGCATCAGATCTGCGGCACTCATGCGGTAGAGGGGGCTGTGCTCGTCAATCCGATGCACCACTGTCATCGGCCAGATCATCACCAACTCACTGTCGTAGTCGTCTGCCTGCACCTCCAGCTTGTGCAGGTACGGAGAGATCAACTCCCCCTCTTTGGTGACGTAGTGCCGCAGCAGATGCACACGCAAGCTGACTCCGATGAGATGAGACTTGTCTCTTATGTCTCCGACTCTGAACATGAGGCAGAGTCGGCCGTCACGTTGACTTATCACGGCGTATCTGCTGAACAACAACGTCTGGGTCCGTTGCTTAGGACGAGCCATCTTGGCGAAGACGAACCCGACCATAAACGCTTGGATGACCATCCCCACGATGCTCTGGACACACATCACGACCATCGCCTCGGGACACTCTTCCGTGGTGGCCCTACCACCGAATCCGATGGTGCTCTGGGTCTCGACGCTGAACAGAAAGCATGACCAGAAGCCCTCGATGTTGACGACACAAGGGACCCAGTCGTCCGGTCTGTCAGGGTCCAGGTCTCCGTGAGTGATCACTATCAGCCACCACACACAGCCGAAACCGAACCAGGAGAGGAGGAAACTCATAGAGAATACGATGAGAGAGTAACGCCATTGGACGTCGACCATAGTTGTGAAAAGGTCTTGCAGATATTTTCTATTCTTTTTAGAGACGTGAAACTGGACGACGTTCTTGTCACCATTCTTGAGCACAGCACGTCTCCTGAGCCTTCGATGCAGAGCTCCTGGACTACAGCTACGTCCTCGGACACTGCTGTGGGTGTGCAGCGGCCTCAGCGACCCTGCCTTCAGCATCAGCTGGTCCGTCTCGCTCAGCACGCTAGCGGACATCGCCTCGTGTATCTGCGTTTCTTCTTCCATCACACACTTCTTCCACACCTCTCAATATACTGACTCTAACTCTGACGTAGAGCTGTTAACACCAGATTGTTTACTACTGGGTGCTAATTACTGTCATCTAGCAGACTGTGAAGGTTTCACAAGTGGCGGCTGCTATATTTGGTTACATCATTGACCGTACAAACTACCTACTTGAATGTTTAATTTTAGTTACTGAAATATTGTGTACTTGAAATTAGATCGTGTGATAACAAGTGGAGCTATCAATCCAGAACCAACAACAGTTCCTCATGTAAACGAAGCAGCTATGAGTAGCTTGCCATTAATCTGGATAGCCAAATGATGAAATGCAAAGCTCGCAGATCTGTTACTGAAATATGCTAAAGTATTAAATGATAATACATTAGACTACTTTAGAATTACATAAAACGCTAACGGAGCAACGAAACAATGGAGCGACGGAAAATAATAAAATTACAAATTATAATATGGGACAAACCCATTGGTACAATTCTGTGTATAGTCAATGGTACAATTAATTAAAGCGTTCTTCTTGTTTTGCAAACATGTGTTAGCGATACCAGTATTTTAAATTGTTCAGTTTGTTTGGTCGTTTTAAGAAATTTATATCCCTCGAACTTTACTCCACTATCTCTGTAATACTGTGAATTCATAATAAATAATTGATTAAATAATATATTTGCTTTTCAATTAACGACAATATATTGAAGAAGAATTTGTAGTACCTTGGCAAAATAGTATACATTTTGACACGACGATTCAATTAACGTTATGATTGTAGTCATTTTTGGAACTATTTCTTCACCAAAATTTGTTTACAAAGGGTAAATGTACATACAGCAGTCCTGCTCTACTCTAGTTTTCCTCTTTTTACCAAAGAAACTTAAGCAACTATTTTAGCTCCGCGACGCATGTTTTTAAAACATCTGTGTGTGCTGCACCATAACGAAAAACATTCAAATCTACAGCAGACATGTACAAGTAGGCCTACAGACAGAAGTACAGATTTGATTTTGCGTTAGCGCGATAACTCGAGTAAAAATGATCCGATTTTGATGAAATATAGTACAAACGTGTAAACCTACGTTTATTCGAACGAGTTCGCGAACCAGCATAATCGGACCATGGGATCAGGGGTTTTTGGATGGTTTTATGGGGTAAAAATGGGGTTTTCCCATTTTTCCCCTAAAAAAAAAAGATTTTGGAATTTCTTTTTAAACCCTTTTGTAGAGCTTAAAAAAATAAATAATTTAGTATATTGAAGCGCTGTTGTATGCCTAACGGTCACGGAGAAAATTAAAAAATAGTGTAATTTAAAATTCCCATGTTATTCTTATGGAGAAAATGAAAACTGATGTAGTTTACTTGTTTATGGATATATATTGATAAAATTTGGTAAATTTATTTATTTCATCCTATACTATTGACGTACCTATTGTAAAAAAAAAACACTTTTTACCTTTCCCGTTGCAGCAAACCTAAACACCCATTAAATCTAATGTTATTTAAATTGGGAATAAATATTTCTTATTTATGGAAATATTTTAGTAAAAATGTAATCAGACAAGTTGAAATTCGCTTAGTCTACAGGTTTGCTGCGGCGGGGATATTTATAGTGTACATCTAAAATCAACAAATTTATTGTATTTTAATTGTTTTACCAATCTAATAACTGTTCTAAACAAAAGGAATCTTGAAAAGGTAAATGGGCATTGGCACTGGACTCATTTTACCTTATAGGAAACTAGTTTTGGACCCTAAACTGCACTTGCACATGGGCCCCTTCGTAAATATTTATTTTTCATTGGATTTTCGGATAATTCACAAATCACAAATAACTTTCTTCGAATGGTAAAATTTGTTCAAATATGTAAAATATGACATAATTTTGGAAGATGACATATTCAGTTGTATAAAAGCAGTGTAGTCGATAATCGATATTTTCATATTGAGAACTACTTAGCCTCAACAATTATTAATAGTTTAGTACAACACTAACCCGTATTAACATTGTTTTCAAACCTCGCTCTATTCCTGACCTCGCCCTTGCCTCGGTCAAATATTAAATAGAGTTCGTGTCAAAAAGAGTCACACTTTAGGCCCTAAATATGAAGATACATAGATTTTTCAGCTGTATTTTTTTTAATGCCATATTTGATTACCGAAAATACCGTTTGGGCTATTAAATGCAGTAGTACAAACACACTAAACTACATCAATTAACAAAACACAATATAAATAGCTTATTCCATGCATTAAATTCTCTAAAAGCGGTTTTGTATTGTTTTCGTATATTAGATGTATATTTTACATGGGTAGGCCTAGGACTAAGATACTTTAAATACCGCTCCATTGGCTGCTACGCATTATTTGCGAAATAACCCATTTGAAACCTCTCTATCACTTGACTTGAAACAAGGTACTTGAAATCACTTTACCTTTAATGACCCATTGCGTTCCAAAAATTAGTTCGGAAGTAAAGAAAATATCAACAAGTTTTAAAATAATGTTAGTTTATGCTCGGAGGTTGTAGAAAATGGGCCTACTGAACAAACTTAACCAACACTTTTTTTTATCTGTAATCAGATATTTTATCTTTACTTCGAAATATTTATTTATATTTTTAAAATCTCTCGGGAGCGGTCCTTCCACCACGGGGAGCAGTTAGGAACCTGTACCTCTTAACCTCTGCTCTTTGACCAAACTTTCAAGTTTAAGTATTTACAGCTGACTTCAATTGATATATTTGACTATTTACATTTTTCCAAAATGCAAGCATTGAAAATTTGGAAGCCTATGGGGCGTAGGTCAAGGGAAATATGAACATAAAATGATTTAATATTGCATTGTCATCTATTTGTGAGCTGTTTCAAGAGTTTCAAGTCGCTTGCTCATCGGGAAGTTGGTTTAAAATCGATTGCAAAATTTGTACTGAACAGATTAAAATGTATGCAGTTTTTATACTAAGTAGACAAACTTAATGATGGCAATCATCCAATGGATATGAACACCACATCCACCTCCAATTATAGGCCTACACTACTCCCTGCTTCCTACTGTATAAGCAAGGCCCCACAGGAAAACGGGCCATGCTGCAGCGCAACACTACGTCACAGTGGTGGATATGACTTCTTTACCATTAAAAAATACCCCCGCCGCAGCAAACCTGCAGACTAAGCGAATTTCTATTAGCCTGATAGGATTTACACTAAAATGTCTCCTTAAAAATATCATATTTATTCCCTATTTAAATAGAATTAGTTAAACGAGTAGGCCTACTTAGGTTTGCTGCAACAGGGAGGGTAAAAAGGTGGTATGTTAATAGGTTAGTAAGAAATTAATGTATTTTCCAAATTCGGTCAAAATATGTTCATAAACAAGCAAACTACAACAGTTGACTTTTTCTCCTTAAGAATAACATGGGGATTTTAAATTTACAGTTTTTTGGAATTTTCTCCGTAACCATTAGATAACGCTTCAATATACTAAATTATTTGTTTTTTTATGCTCTACAAAATGGTGTGAAAAGAAATTGTAAAATTTTGTGTTTTTAGGGTCAAAAATGGGAAAAGCCTATTTTTACCCCATAAAACCCCCCATAAACCCCCGTTCCCATAGTCCGATCATGCTGGTTCGCGAACTCGTTCAAATAAATGTAGGTTTACACGTTTGTACAAAATTTCATCAAAATCGGATGATTTTTGCTCGAGTTATCGTACCCGCGGGCTTTGCCCCGCTTAACTTCATAAGTATTCGCATGGCTCAATCACGTCCTGGTTGAAGTTCGTTCGCTACGCTCACTCACCTTCAGGTTGGAAATCGTTCGCTGCGCTCACTTGTTTTCAGGTTAGCTCGTTCGCTACGCTTACTCGCCTCCAGGTTGATGTTCGTTCGCTACGCTCACTCACCTTTTGATTGCAAATTAGCTGTTGTCATAAATTTTAAAAAATCATCCCTTTTATTGTTTATAATACAGTACTTTTATAAAGGTTTTTATGTTTTAATATTTAACATTGGAGAATTTAAACGTTGTTAAGTGCACAGGTGTGCTGCGATTGGGGTTTAATACATTTGGACTTATTCAAAAGTAAAATAGTTTTCTGTGCTGCACTCTGTAGAAACACTGTGGCACTATTTCAAATCATGGCTAATGCTAATACAGAATGTTGTAATTATTCAAACCTACAAAACAGTTGGTAAAAGTAAACATCTGCTTTTAAATTATATTTATTTGTAAACATTGTAGATCAAAAAGTCTGACATTGGCCCACTTAAAACCCTCTGGGGCAGAGCCCTTTTGATAGATCTGCACCAAACTTCACTCGAACCATCCTTGAAAGATGCTTAATAATGCCTGAAAGTTTCATTACAATCTGTCGAGCGGTTTTGGAGTCCATAACGTATATACATACACACACACACACATACATAGTTCCTCTTTTATAGATATAGATATAGATATATATAAATATATATATAAATATATGTATAAATATATATAAATAAAGATTAAACATTAAAAAACTTAGTACCCAAGTAAAATTATTTATTAAAATATTTACTGACTATAGTTTCGGCTCTAAGGCCATTTTCAAAGTAAACAAAAATCTAAATAAGATATGTAAATAAATAAATAACATATGATATTATAAAACTTTTCTAACTTGTAACATAATTTTGTCTTCATTGATTAATTTATATACTATATGATGTGTTGTACTTATTTTCATTAAAATTTTCTCAATTTTGCTATTGTTTCATATATTGGGTTATTCAATTTTGGAATCATTGTATTTAAAATATTTGATTTGTTATTTTTGTAGTTCATATAAATATTAATTTCTTCTTTTACATTCAATTTTTCTCTGTCTTTTTCAATTTCTAATATTGTTAAGTTGTCTTCGATCTTAGTAAACTTATGTTTGGATTTTAGTAAATGATCTGCAAAATTTGATTTCATTGATGTTTTGTTCTTCGATTTGTATGCTTGTATATGTTCGTTGAATCTAA